CCCTAAACCCTAAACCCTAAACCCTAAACCCTAAACCCTAAACCCTAACCCTAAACCCTAAACCCTAAACCCTAAACCCTAAACCCCTAAACCTAAACCCTAAACCTAAACCCTAAACCCTAAACCCTAAACCCTAAACCCTAAACCCTAAACCCTAAACCCTAAACCCTAAACCCTAAACCCTAAACCCTAAACCCTAAACCCTAAACCCTAAACCCCAAACTCTAAAACCCTAAACCCTAAACCCTAGACCATTAGGGAAAAGAGGGATAAAGGAAAAAACAAGGAAGGATTAGGAGCTATTCAACCAGTATTGGAGGAGATCTTGGAAACAGAGTTGCCCGACCCCCTATTATTTTCACTAGGTAGTAAGGGGTAGAGCGGGCAAGAGAGAACGAAGTATGAGATGCCCCAAGTTATCGGAGAATCCAGTGGGAAAGGTGAGTTCACAACTGGGGACAAACGTCCCCCTTATAGGCCACCACCATTGGCTAATAATGGAAGAGAGCCCAAATGGAGGAAGCCCGAACCAAGGAAGGAGACTTTCTTGGGCAACGATCATAGCCAAAAGTGGGGAACCTCCTCATACCCTACATGATAATACAGCCAACCAGCAACTCAAAGAGGAGTTAGCTGAGTTGAGAGGGATGGTGGTCCAGAATGCTCAACCTCAGGCTCGCCCGCTGTTAAGGATCACCTACCAGAAACCATACCTTGAGTATATCGATGAGCAAAACCTTTTTCCACTCAACTTCAAGATGCCCGCATTCCCTACTTTTAGTGGGGAAGATGGCAGTGTGTCCTCTAGAGATCACATCTTCAAGTAGAGTTTGAGGGAGCTAAGCCAGAACGAACTAATGGCCATGGAAGAGAAGGGATGGACATGTGTTCGACAGAGATGACTACCCCCTTTAAACCTTTAATAATGAAAGGATTAGTCTAACCAATCAAGGATCAAAAAGTGGTTATGAACGATGGCGGATTTGTCCCTATGAAGCCCCCTACATACCAGAGTTATTCTTTTGATTTAACCAAGGCCTCGGAGATCTATGAAGGGTTGGTGCAGGCAAGAGTGATTGTGTCCAACAGCACCAAAAAGATGCCTAAACCAGAAGAGCTAAGAGGAAAGAAGTATTGCAAGCTGCACTCTACCTTCATCACTCCATAACCAACTGTGTCCAATTCAAGGATTGGATACAAGACCTAATAGTGAAGGGAAAGTTGTTGTTGGAAAAACCACAGGCCAATATAATGATTGACACGGATCCTTTCCCAGAAGCCCCGATAAACATGATCAACTTAACTTGGGCTGAAAAAGGGAAAGGGAAAGCCACCTGGGATGTGAAAGCAGAAATGAGGCAAGTTGACAAACCAACAGAAGAGACTATCAAGGAGCCCGAGAAACCCAAAGTAGCCATAGTTAAATGGCTGGTTTTGTGTAGTAAGTGACAGTGTGAATGTGAGCTAGAAGTACCAGCATCAAGAGCTATTATTGATCAAGAATTGATTAAAAGAAGAAAGAAAGATGAACAAAAAGTCCGCAGAAGCATCATGCGGGCAATTAAGAAAGAGACCTCTATAAATGTTTTCCAAAGGTTGGGAGGAAATTCTCAACCAAAGGGGTTATCAGAGGTATTCAGAAACCATGAAGCTTTTGAAGAAATGGAGGATAGAGAAGTCAAAATGCCAAAATGGGTGGATGTAAGGCATCCCCAACCAAGTTATAATGATGTCAGAATGAAGGGAATAACAAAAAGCATTATATCCTCATTCACCAAGAAAGATTATGCCCGACTCGGGCTGAAATGGTATGTAGTAAGGAAAGATCGGAGTCCTATCAAAGAAATAGGAGCCTCTATGATCAGGAGAGTTCAAAGGCAGCACAAAGCCCACATGAAGTCATTAAAAGTCCCCGATGCCTCAGAAACCTCTGAAAATGTGAAGTTTGAGAAAGTACCTCATAGGGGAAGAAATCAACTTCATTGGAGAAGCAAAAATGAGGTAGAAAAGGCAAATAACAAGACTGAGGGGGAAGGAGATCATGTGCCACAGAGCCCCCATCCTCGGAAGTACAGAATTCTAAAGAGAGCTCAAGAGGACATGGTAATGATACCAACACCAAGATGGAGCCCATAGCCAATATATTTTGGAACTATCTCGCCTGAGAAATGAATGCCCCCACATTTGCTGGTTGATACTCTCTGTGAAAACCTAGTGTAGGCACAAAACTTTGGCATAACTCGGGAAGAAAAGTTGCCCGAGCTGATGTTGCCAAAAGAAGCTCAAGCCTAGTTAGATGAATTCATGGACCATATTGGGGGCAAAAAGGAGGATCTACCTGGACCTAGCAACTTCCATGTAAACATAACATTTGTTCTATCTTCCATGTTTTTTCCCAAGCATGATCAACTTGCCATAATGAAAGGTGATTACTTGGCAACAGAACCTATGATGGCACATGTTAATGTTGAAGAAGCAGGAAAATAGGAGTCGGGCAAAACAGGTTTGCCCGAGCTCACAAAGAAGGAGCCCGAGAAAGTATACTCAGACATAATGGTCTTCAGTTGCCCAAGTTTGGCTCTAGCTAACCATCTCAAGCCTATATATGTAACTGCTCATCTGGAGGGAGTACCCTTCAAGAAGGTTTTGATTGATGGATGAGCTGCGGTGAATGTGTTGACGTACAAGCAGATGAAAATGGTGTGTAGAAGTGAGGAAGATCTCATCCCCACAGATCTAACAGTTTCCAGTTTCTCTGGAGCCATCACTAGAACTCATGGGATATTGCCCCTGGAGGTTGACTTAGGCTACAAGCGAATCATGCTAGCCTTCTTCGTTGTGGATAGTACTTCCACCTATGGAGCTTTACTAGGCCGAGATTGGATTCATCAGAGTCTCTTTGTGCTTTCCACCCTGCATCAACAAGTAGCAATTTACCACGAGGAAGAAGCCATAAGACTAGGATTTTGGGAGATGGTGGAGGCCGAGTCACGGCCATTCTTCCCCACTGCCAATATGGCAGAAGCCAGCTTTTATAATCCTAGTATTGGGACTCTCTAGCGCTTAGGAGTTAATGAGAACGACCACCCGACTAAGTTGACAGCCCAAAAGCTTTTCGAGCAAGGATTGTTCCTCACCAGGGAAGAATGGGATAGACCCCATATTGTCTCAACTCCCCAACACCAGTAATGTCAGAACAAATAAGAAATGACCAAGTAGTTGTAGTCAGGTCCTTAATCAAAAGACTGTTGGTGTATAGAAGAGAGAGGAAGCGGGAAAGAGAGAGCTTGGCCGAGGAACAAGAGGAAGAAGTATCAAGCAACCAGAACAAAAGTGAAAAAGAGTTTTTGGAAATGAGTTGGAAGCAGCTATCCAAATGGCTGAATGTATATATCACCTGGATGGACCAGAAGACTTGCCCCAGAGTCCAGAGCTAATTGAATTTTTGTGTGCAGAAGCTTAAACCACCACCAGAGGTAAAAGGCCCCTTAAAAATCATTAATTTGGGAACTAAGGAAGATCCAAGGCCTATACAAATTAGTGGCATGTTGGAAGTTGAAGATCGGGCAAAGATAGGCAGTTTTCTGCATTAGTTTAAAGATTGTTTTGCTTGGCATTACACTAAGATACCAGGTTTAGATTCAACCTTAGTAGAACACAGAATGCTTATTAAGGAAGGATATAAACTTGTGAAGCAAGCACCACGGAGGATGTCAAAAGAGATCAAAGAAAAAGTCAAAGAAGAGATTGCAAGGCTGGTAAAGGCTGGATTTATTAGGCCTGCCAAATATGTCGAGTGGTTGGCCAACATTGTACCTGTATTAAAAGCTATAACTAATGCAGTTCAGTGTTGCATTGACTATAAAAACATTAATGAAGCCACGCCTAAAGATGAATATCCCATGCCCATGGCTGACTTATCCATAGATGCAGTTGCCAAACAAAAAGTCCTATTTTTCATGGATGGGAATGTCAGTTATAATCAGATAAAAATGGCTAAAAAAGATATAAACAAAACAGCTTTTAGGTGCCCAAGTCATGTTGGAGTATATGAATACTTGGTAATGTCATTCGGGCTAAAAAATGTTGGAACAACCTATCAAAGAGCGATGAATGTCATTTTTCATGACTTGATTGGCCATAGCATGGAGGTATACATTGATGACATCGTGGTGAAGTCTAAAAGTGAAGAACAGCACTTGGTAGACCTCAGACAAGCCTTAACAAGAATAAGGATCCATAAGCTGAAAATGAATCCAAAGAAATGTACTTTTGGGGTAAGGTCGGGCAACTTTTTGGGATTCCTTGTTCATCAAAGAGGGGTGGAGGTTGACAAGAACAAAGCTCGGGCAATAATGGAATCACCTCCTCCCACCAATAAAGTACAACTACAAAGGTTGCTGGGAAAAATCAACTTTTTAAGAAGATTCATTGCTAACTTGGCGGGCAAGATTCAGTTGTTAACTCCTCTGCTAAGATTGAAAGACAAAGAAGAGTTTGAGTGGGGCCCACCACACCAAGAGGCTTTCAACAGCATAAAGGCTTACTTGACCTCTCCACCAGTACTCATGCCACCTCAAAGGAGGAAGCCTTTAAAACTTTATATTTCAGCCTCTGAAAAGTCAATGGGAAGTTTGTTGGCCCAAAACAATGAAGGTGAGAAGGAACAAGCAATATACTACCTCAGTAGAATCCTTACTTACTGAGGTAGATACAAGATACACACCAGCAGAGATGTTGTGTTTGGTTTTATACTTCGCTGCCTGCAAGCTAGGCATTACATGTTGCCTTGCCACATCCACATCATCTCCAAGACAGATGTGATCAAGTACATGCTGTCAAAACCAATGCTAACTGGGAGAATTGGAAAGTGGATTCTAGCACTATCAGAGTTTAGCTTTCAATATGTGCCTCAAAGAGCGATCAAGGGATAAGCAATTGCAGACATCTTAGCTGAGCACCAAGAGTCTCAAGAGAAAATTATCAACATCCCAGGAACTATGAAGGTAGCCAGTGTGTGGATCCCATCAAGTAAAGCCTTCTCGGGCAGAGAAGAATGGATCCAGCAAGAGATAAAAAGAATAACTAGCCTCTGGATCACTCATTGGAGACTGTATTTTGATGGTTCTTGCACTCAAAATGCTGCTAGAGCTGCGATTGTCATCATTGATCCCAAAGATACTCATCATTGTTATTCATTCCTCCTGGATTATCAACAGACTACCAACAATCAGGTGGAGTTTAAGGCATTGATAATCCTGGAAATCTTGATAGAGTTGGGGCCAACTAAAGTTGTGGTGTTTGGTGATTCAGAATTGGTGATCAATCAGTTAAATGGAGAATACAAGTGCAGGCACATCACCATAGCTGGTTATTACTTGGCGGCCACTCAATTGTTGAGTTATTAGAGCACTGAGATATCAGTCAATCATATTCCTAAATAATCAAATACAATGGCTAAGGTGACGGCCCAAAAGCTTCTGGAGTACAGATCCAAGAAAGGAAGTTTGAAAGGGATATGGAAGTTTAGAAAAAAAATCTCCCTTCTATCTTTGAAAGGGGATTCAGCCTAGATGTGATGACTAAAGAAATGGAGATAGAGGATTGGAGGACACCTATTGTTCAGTATTTGAAAGATCCATCCTTCCCCAAGTAAGAAAAATAGACGAAACTAAGAATGTTTTGTGGGAGGAAAATCTACTAAGAAAGACTCTAGATGGACTGCTACTGAAGTGCTTAGACCAGGAAGAATCAATTAGGGTAATGGCCGAAGTACAAAAAGGAATTTGTGGGGCACATCAAGCTGGAACTAAGATAAGATGGTTGCTTAAAAGATATGGCTATTTCTGGCCTGAGATGGAGAAAGACTGCAAAGCTTATGCCCGAGGGTGTGAAGAATGCCAAAGATATGGACCTCTCCAACATGTGCCCTCAGTACCCTTGAACCCCGTGGTTAAGCCTTGGCCCTTTAGAGGGTGGGCAATGGACTTCATCGGGCAAATTTATCCAGCTTCTAGCAAAAGACATACATTCATAATCGTGGCAACAGATTACTTCACAAAGTAGGTAGAGGCTTCAGCTGTCAAAACTATCACCTCAACTACAGTCAATAAGTTTATTGAAACTAAGATCTTACACAGATTTGGGGTGCCCAAGACAATTGTTACAAACCACGGGCCATCTTTTATTTCAAATGAAGTAAAAGAATTTGCAAGTAAGTTCAAGATAAAGATGATTCAACCTAGTCCTTACTACCCCCAGTCAAATGGTCAAGCAGAAGCTAGCAATAAGATCTTGGTGAACATTATCAAAAGAATGGTGGCAGATAGTCCAGAAAAATGGCATGAGAAGTTAGGAGATACTTTGTTGGCTTACAGAACCTTCAAGAAGGCAGGAACTAGAACTACTCCTTATTCTATAACCTTCGAGCAAGATGTTATACTCCCCATGGAGATAAATGTGAGTTATGTTAGGATCCAAAACCAGTTTGGGTTGCACAGTGAATAATACATTTAGGCTATGTGTCAAGGAGTTGAAGATCTAGATGTAGCCCGAATTGAAGCTCTAGATAAAATTCAAGAGGGGAAGAGAGTTGTTGCCTGAGCATACAATAAGAAGGTGAAGTTGAAGAACTTCAAGAAAGGAGAGTTAGTGTGGAAGGCAATTCTGCCTTTAGGAGCTCAAGTTAAAGGCTTTGGGAAATGGAGTCCTACTTGGGAAGGTCTTTTCATTGTTCACCAAGCACTAGATAAAGGAGGATATTACTTGACAGATTTAGAAGGAAACTTGCAGAGACATCCGGTTAATGCTAAGTTTTTAAAGAAATACCATCCAACTTTGTGGGATGTCAGAGATTGTTACATTGAAGAAGTTTAGACATTGTAAGAAATCCAAAAATTAGCTTATATACTCATCATAGTTGAGTTTCAAGGAGGAAATGCAAGCTAAAGTGGATTAAAGAAGTCATTTTCATTTCATTGAATGTTGAAGTTACATAAGAATCAGCTCAATAATTTTACATCCTTGGCTAGGGCAGTTATCCTAGAATGGTATGTCTACATGATAGTGAAGATTCTACTCGGATCCTCCAAAGCAATGTTACTATTAGCTAACTGTGCTTCAACATCTTCAACTTCAACATTTACTTTCTGAAGGGAAATCTATGAGATTCGTGTATGGGATTTCTAAATGACTATCATGCATATCCAAAACAATTTAGATATACGAAAGCAGCGGAAGCATTTATAACACATTATCAAAGCTATAGTCATGCAAATCCCCTTCAAGGTTCATAGGTTTATATATAATGCATCAAATAAAATTTTAGAGAAAAGAACAAAGTGAAGGTTTAGTCTTATACCTCTTGATCTTGACTTGAGACCAAGGATGGACCACCTCCAAGCCCTTTGTTCCTTGAACTCCTTGAGCCTAGCTTCCTTCCTTGCCTCCTCCACTTTGTTACAATGAGTGCTCCTAGGTTCTCTTCAAGTTCCCAAAGTAGGAAACCTCTAAAGATCCTCACCCACTAGTGTAGTGAGAAGGATGAAGGAATAACCAAAAGGGTGAAAGATTGTTAGCTAAATCACCCTCTTTGGTGGCCAGCCTTTGTAGTGATTTTAGAGAGATATTCTTTTGCCTCTTTGTTGTTTTAACCACACAAAAACCCTAATGAACAATATCTTATAAAGTTCCTTATATAGACAAAAGAAACCTAGTCAACACTTGACTAAATATCTCACCCTTTCCACCTTAAAGTGGCCGGCCTCTTTGTTGTTTGTTTGGGCTTTGGGCTTTTATTATTTCAAGTCATCCAATGCTTGAATAAAAGCCCAATGGGTTATGGGTATGGGTTTAGGCCCAATGGGCCCAATTAAACCCGAACGTTTCTTAAGCCCAAACGATCTTTATCGCTTTTATGATTTCTTTAGACTTTCTAAATTAATCACAACAATTAATTAATCCAATTAATTATTTCCATCATCCATTAGTTACTCACTACAATAGTGTATTGGTGAACAATCTTTTAGGTTCTAATTAGCAAGGCAGTGAGGTGATTGGCACCAATCCAATTTAATTCAATCACTTAGTGAATTGAAACTTCATTTCAATTCACCTTTCTTCTTTGATGAGTACATTTAATCATCTAGAAGAACTCACAAGCTATGAGTGACATCTAACCATATGTCATAGCTACCCAAGCTAATGTAGAAGTTTATTCGGAGAACCTATTCAGTTGGAATTACAATGTAATTCGATCCTTCTCTAATACAATACTCTCAATCACATCATTAGGGTATGGATATATTATGTCAAACCCCTAATGTGATTATTCCTTCTTATATGATTCAATTGAGTCGTATAGGAACGCTTTCCTTTATTACGCTCGATACTTCGACCGAAGATTCCCGAATCATATCTTAGAGTATTCTTCCTCTCTTATCGAGGATTAGAGATTCCTTGTTGTGCATACACTTGCCTTCATGACTAAGTGGCTTAACCCCAATTATGCCGTAGACACCCTCGAATAGGGAGACTTTGACATAATCAAAGATTAAGTACTTAACCACAAGACAACGACGATGCCTCAGGTCTAAGGATTACTTACATCTTTCCAACCATTAGAGTTACTTGCTTGACATGTGAGTAGACCTCCATGCAAGTACTCTCGTTCGATTGTGTTCAATGAACTCATTCCCCTAATGAGCACCTACATACTTGTCTTAGTGTCACAACACGAATGGGATGAGACTTTCCATCCTTCCAATCAAAGCAGACACAGTATGTACCGGTCTACGCATTGTCAGTATCCCTCCGACAATCCAACGACCAGGAACCTTTTTGGACATTTGGTTATGTGAAGAAGGTCTCTGTAGTCTAACATCATTAGATTACTTCTTCAATCGATCCACTGTCCATGGATACACTATTTGGGACATATATCGTTTATAGAGATAGTCCTAATTTGTGTCTTTGCCATTTGATGTATAAGAATCATCCATACATCGATTCATTTGTCCGGAAAGGTTTCTTCCAAAGATTAACTTTCAGGGCATATTTCCAACACTTTCTTAACCTCTTCAATCTTCTGGTGAAGCTGGTTGGTTAAGGTCGCTTATTCAGCCTTAAGTACAGACAGTTGCTCCTCTAACCTCTCAATTTCAGAAGACACCTTTGTAATCATTGCCTCTATAGTAGAACATTCTTCCACAAGTCCTACCAAAGTCTTTGATATTGATCCTAAAACCGACAAGGTCATGGTAGTTGATCCCAAAGCATACACCTATGATGATGAAGTGATCAAGAAAGCAGAAGATGTAGGGAAGTCTGGGCTTGTGGATATTAGTGCAAGGGAATATAGCTTTATATTCACAAGTGGAATCTACCGGTGTGATTAAAACTGCTTGGCTACTCCTCAATGCCATAGAAGTCTTGAAACAGAAGCTAGACGCAGTGCACCTTTCTGAAGATACTGTAAAAGCCAATGACCAGCTGTGGGTGATGTCTATTACTCTATCCGAGAGCCTTAGCCTGAAGACCTGAGCCATATCGAGGATGGTCAGAGACATGGGGCGCATCCTAAAGTCGAAGGTATTGGTGCCCGAGTTCCAGAAAAGAAGTGTAATTGTCAGTAACTCGGGCTTGGCAATGACCGTGGTCTTGGAGAGCATTATGAGCTCATAAATTTTGTTTCATCCACTTCGGCTTGAAGGTGGGCTTGAGCTCGTTGACCAATTGTGTCCATGCCTCATCCTTCATAAGTGGGAAGCCACGACGGTGGTTTTATCATTTAGAAGACGAAATGCCCGACTTAGCCTGAAATGGGTTGGGAGTGAACCATTTCTCCTTGGGCATGTAGCTTTCTACAGCTACAGGGACCTGAGAAGTCCATGCAAGTCCCAAGGAGTGCACTCCTCCCTCCTCGAAGAAAAGTTCAGTATGCAGGCCTGCCCAAGGGCGATGTAGGCCGTTAAGCAAGCGGCGCATGGTAGTAATCCTTTCACCAGTCTCACAAGGAGATTGAGTTCGAGCAACTTTGGGTGCCATTGGATGATTTTGAGGAGAAGATGGGAGAAAATCAAAATTAGGGGGCAAAAACTGAAGAGCAAGAGAAGTTTCTGGAAAGTTTGAAGGCTCTGAGAATTCTGGGAAGTTCTAGGAATTCGAAGGTTTGAAGTTGCTAAGGTATTTAGCCAAAGGGTTTAAGTGAGAATTATATAGTAAGTGGTTACTTAACGATGGAATTCGTGGGTTAGTGCAAAGGTTTAGTTAACAACGACTGTTTTAAATGGTCCAAGTCCTAAGTAAATGAGTGCGACGGCTATTTAATCATTATTAGCGTCTTGGGTTGCAGACTCAACAAAGATTAAAAGAGGCACTGTTTAGGTTAATATTTGAACATTGGACTTAG